CGTCTGAGCTCCAACACTGCCTTCTTTGCACCCTCAGTTGGCTCCCACTGGCCACCCCTACCGAGAAGAAGGCCTCACGAAGTGGTGGCCAGGCGCCCACTGCTGGGTCGATGGTGGAAGCCAGGGGATTCCAGCTGGATGGACACACAAGACGGTCTGCTGCCTGGAGAAGGCAAGAAGGGACTGCACTGAAGTCCACCAGCCCACCCTTTGAGGAGGACTCCCCGGGCCCCTGCGGTCTCTGTATCATACAGGCCAGCTCGGATGTGATTTGCCACTGAGGGAAGTTAACGAAGGACCACGGCTAGGCTCACCTCCACCACGCGTGATGGGCCTAAGACTTCTGGGACAGAGAAGGACAATCAGGGTTCTTAAAGGCCCTTCAAGGGCTGTCCGTTTCATTGCAATAGATGCTTGTGCTCTGAGGAGCACTTTAAACAATCCTCCCTTGCGGGGGACGGTGGGGCATGGTCTCGCCAGAACCCACGAGGGCAGAGAGACACGACTGCCAGTTCCTCTTCTGTTCTCCAGGACAGTTCAGATTCCCTTGGAAGCGGAGAACCTTGCCAAGCCCGCCACCCCTAGACTCCACCAGCAGTTCGCACCCTGAAGGGTGGGCCACGCGCTCAGGATTTCAGGCCACAAACTCAGGTTTCCTAGATTCCAGCTTACCACCACCAACACCACCACCGCCATCCTCCTGAGATGCTCCACCTGGGTGGCCACGGCAGGCTAAGGGCTAGTTCCAGCCCAGGCCTGGGGGAAAAAACCACACACAGTCTGTTCTTCCACTGCTGCTCAAAGCCAAGACCTTCGCCCAAGCAGTCTCTGTGTGCCATGTGCACATTTGCCGTTCTTCCAGAATCAGAGTCGGACACGCCTCCTCCTGCTTGGCTTCGTCCGGCTAAGCCAGGAGGAAGGATTGCAGTCTTCCTGGTTTTATATTGCGGAGGGAGGTGGTTGATGGGGACGTCATAGGAGTCTGGTTCCGAACAAAGTATTGGGGTGTGAGCAATCCAGTTCTTCTTGGTGGGGGGGGATGGGGACTGAGGAGGGAAAAGCAGGAGACAAATAGAGCAGGAAGGAGACTCCGGCTTCCTCACAACCTTCCCTGTAAATAGGATTTTCTACCATGGTTCAAATTTATTCCCATTTCTTTTCTTTTTTTAATGTAATGAGCAAAAACGTCTCCCTGGCACATTCTCCTGCCCAGATGAGAAAGGGAAATGTTAAGGTAGGTCCGTCTCCTCAGTGAGCTCCTTGGAATAAGGATATATGCACATTCCCAGAACAGGGTGAGGCCACAGCATAGTGGTAGAGCGCATGATCTGCATGCAGAAGGACCGATGCTTGATTCAGGGAGGTGGGAGCGGGCGCGTTTTTCAGTCTGGGACCCACATCTGGGACTTCACCTAAGTTCGGGGTTCTCACTTGGTGGTGGGGCCTTCTTGTTCCTGGCCTCGGTGGTTCCCCACACATGCGGGTGAGCAAGTGGTGCCAGGGACCTGCCTCAGGTTGCTGCCTGCTGGAGGACTGAGTGAGGCCACAGGTCAACGGAGAGCACATGCCTTGCAGGTCAAAGGGCCCAGGTGCAATCTGTGCCTTCTCCCATGAAAGGACATTTTTCAGTCCGAGGGCCACAGCAGGGACTTGACCCATTTGCAAGTTGCCTGTCACTTCCAGCTCAGCCATGTTTACAACGGTTGCCAACTTCCCGGGGGGGGGGGGGGGGGGAAGTACGGGCATTTCAGTTTGCAGAAATGGGCCGTTGAAGCAGCTCACAGCATGGAGTTTGATGACGTTACCTGCAGACCAAACTGATGTTGAAAGAGACAGCTAGAGGGACCCATTTAAACAGTTGTCAACCTTCATGTTTCCATGTGGGCAAGCCTGTGCTGCTGCTGCTGCTGTGAACAGAGACCTAGATTGTGTCTTCCGTCCAACACTGCCTCTCTTCATGGGGTTAAGTCCCTTGGCAGTTTGGGGGCAGCATTGGCTCACTTGCTTATGTTGCAATGTGGCGAACCAATGTGCTAGAAAAAAAGGTTAGCTCAAGGGCTGGATGGAAACCTCCAGTGAGCAGGATGTGGTGCCATAAATTGCCCATGTGAATGGATGTCAGATAGTAAAACTAGTAGTAGGGGAGGGGGTGTGGCTCAGTGGAAGAGCCTCTCCTCGGCATGCAGAAGGTCCCAGGTTCAAATCCCGGCATCTCCAGTTAAAAGGACCAGGCAGGAGGTGATGGCCCATTCTGCATCTAGCAAAACAGAAAAAGATGTGGCTTAAACTACATTCAAATACCCGGGGCCAACACTGTACTGACTGCAGAGTCACCCTGGAATGGCCATCAACTGGCCATAAATCTATGCAGACAATACCATAAAACCGAGAGATCAAAGGAAGTGAAACCAGCATGCAGTGTGGAGGCTACCATAAAACCCGACAATCAAAGACAGTGAAAGTGGCATGCAATGGAGAGGGGGATTTTTGTTCCAATGTGGGCTTGGTCAAACAGCGGAGTGGATGCTCGCTGCAGAATGGGCCCATGTGAATCAGCTTTCCCTGGTACCCTGGAGAGCTCCTGCCAGTCTGAGTAGACAATACTGACCTTGAGGGACCAATAGTCTGACTCAGTCTAAGGCAGCAGCATCTATGGAACATGTGTCGAACTGGAGTAAACCTCTGTGACCTACCGTGCTGGACCAGGTGGCCAGTGGTCTGATCCGGCAGCTTCCTACAGTCCATTTGAGATGATTTGCGGGCGGGTGGGGGCGGAGACTCGCCAGAACCTGGAAGGGGAACGAGAGCCATGATCTGAATGCAATAATCGCGGCTGGATTTGGCCATCTCTGCAGGGCAAATGATACCACCTCACTTCTTCGCTACGGTTGTACAGCAGCGTCTTTTCTTCTTCTTCTTCTTCTTCCTATGGAAGGTCTATTTTTAACTGGGGTGGGGAGAAATGCAATACATTGTTTTAGAACTTATCTCCAGTTAGCGGAGGGGACGACTCGGCTGGCCTTCGGCAAATGACCAGGGCTCTCTCTGGAACCCGGGGCTGGCACGGCAAGCACAGCAAGGGAGCCAGTTTGGTAGCGACTCGTAGGGAGAGGGAGGAAGAGGGTGGGCGTGGGGAGAAGAGGCTGCTGGACAGACGTAGCTCCCCAGAACGGTGCTTGTTTGTAGGGATGAGATGGGGGTTA